CTTTTTCTGGGTTTTTCTAAGGGCCAAGATGGCTTTCTAAGCAAATGGGCTTATTGGGCTTGATTTGGGCTTATTATTATTTTTGGTTGGGTTATCTCTTGGCTAGGTTATTTTGCTTGGGCTTTTGGGCTATTTTTTCTCTCTTGTGCTTACCCACATGTTTGGACCTAAGAAATGGGCCTGAGTCTCGAGGCTCCCAAGCAACCCGAGACTTTCCATTTCTTGGTCCATCAATGGGCCTCATGTTGATTTATCACCATCCATGCCACAACCCACTCAAGCAAGCCCCGGGTCTTTTTTGAGTGGCTTGGGCCCACCTAAGCTTGTAGCGTGGTTGGGTGCCAGATAACGGCATGGCATGTTGCTCGGCATATTTTACCTTATCGCCCTTGGGAAGGATTGTTTTAATTTTTAGCATGATTTAATTATATTTTATCATAGCATGATAATTTGTTTATTTAGCGTGGCGTGTGGGTTATAACTTGCATGCGATAGATCCCTTTTTTCTTTTCCCTTATGAAATATTGTATTGGGCTGATAGTTGCTTGGGCCCGATCCATGGATTTTTTGGGCCTCAACAACAACAATAAGAGGAAGAGAAATATAGAGAATTTGTTATATGAACTTGTATCAACTTATCTTATTCATCTTTGATAAGAGCCTATTTATAGGCTTACAATAGAGGTATTTAACTCACAATTTATAGCTACTAATTACAATAATAAGGGCATAGGTTACAAAGCAATAAGGGGTGGAGGTAATGGGTGTTATGGTGGTCATCCACATTCCATAGATTTATAACAAATATAATATTATTATAAGAAATATATATATATATATATAGATATATAATACATAGTTTCAATCTTTTCTTTTTCTTCTCTCTCAATCTTTCTGTTTGTCTTGTCTTCATCAGTTCCTCTATCTCTATTTTTTTTTCTTCTCATTCTTCTTATGTCTTCACTCCCTCTCCCCATCTCCCTCATCTTCTTTTTCCATTCTTCTTCTTCTTCTTCTTCTCCATCTCTCCCTCTCTTTTTTTCTTCTTCTCCTCTCCATCGCTTTTATTTCCTCTCTCTCTCTCTCTCTCTCTCTCTCTCTCTCTCTCTCTCTCTCTAAGAAAGCCAAAAAACCGAAACCAAACCACCAAGTCCGGTTAACCGAAGTGGTTGATTTTCATCAATTATGATTTGGTTTCGATTTTCAAAATAGTCAAACTGAAGCCTACGGTTCGGTGTTCGGGTTGAGCCCAAAACCAAATCAACCCAAACTGAGCCCAGACCTAGTTTCATGTATGATACTAGCGCCCCACTCAATAGAAAGGTATTTTATAAAAAGTTCTAATTAGTTTTTTCCACCAACATGTTCCTTCTAAAAATTTTGAACTCTGCATCAGTCAAGTTGATTAGAGCATATGTGCCTCCACTATGCACCCGAGTTCAAATTCTCCTTTGTAGAATCATGTTGAGTTTTTATAAATAAAAAAAAATAGCCAAAATTTACCTTATACTTTCAAAGCATTTCCAGCGGCTGCCATTAGCCCTGGCAAGACAGGGACAAAGCCCAAAAAGGAGCTTCCAGGGGCTTGCGACGCCCGGGCAGGCCATGGGTCGCACGAGACTGGGTTAGTCCGTAGGGGAAATCAACCTTAGACCCAGCTTGAAGGCTGCTGACGTCAACGCAGTAATTCAAATTTTTTTTAACTTTGGCGCCACGTGGAGCGTTCTAGTTGATCCGATGTTTGTTTTTTTTTTTTAAATCCAACGGCTAGGCTTTTTTTGGGCAAAAAATATGTGAAAAAAAATTCAAATTTTTTTTTAAAATTCAAATTTTTTAAAAAAATTCACCCAAAAATTTTGAACTTTTTTTAATAAACACCTACCATTTTTCTTCACTTTCAACACCAAATCCTCATACAATTTCTTCTCCTTCTATTATTTTTCAATTTCTTCTCCTTATATTATCCAAATTAATTGTTTAGGTATCAAAAAAAAAAAACGAAAAATGAATAGTATTTTCCCTTTGCCATGACAATGAGAATGGGTGGAAACACACATTGCTTTTTGCAATGGCAGCCACTATTCAAGTGAATAGTATCTGCCCTAGCCCCCACTTGCCCTTTGTCATGGCAAATGGGTGGAGTTGCTCTCATAATATCAATTTTTATAAATAAATAAAAAAACTTTCAAAAATAGTCAAAAACTCACTTAAATATACTCAAATTCCCTCAAAATTAAAAACAAAGAAAAGAAGGAATGGGGAGCCTAAATTTATGATTAGAATAGAATTTATCAACAAAACATTAAACGAGAAAGAGAATAACCATTCTCAATCATTTGAAATTCAATTTACCAGCAATAACAAAGAAAGAGAATTATATTACTTGAATATAATAATAAAATTTTAAAAAGAAGGAAAGAAGAATGAAAAATCATCTATAGTCTTGGTCTTTTGTTCTTCTAAGGAAGTTCAGTGTTTGTATTTGGGTTTGGCATGTTGCCCCCTTGGTGTCTTCTCTTTAATGAAAGACAGATTTTGTTTGGACCAAAAAATACAAAATTTATTTTATATAAACTCTGTATGCTTATTTTGTCTTACATTTTTTTCTCCTCCCAGTAATATAATTGTTAGATAAAAAATGTAATAAAGAAATTAAAAATTCACTCAACATAATCTCACTCTTATTTACAAATAAGAGTTTTTATTTTTAATTGAGTACGACCCATTCAAGATAAAAATATCTCTTAATTATAATCTCTTTGGAAAGAGAAAACTCTTAAATGCCAATATGAAGAATGAAATAAATAATGGAATTTGATTCGATGTTACGGCTGCATCCATGGAACCCTACACTGCCTACATACCCCATTTTGGGGATCAAGCCTTTTGTAGTTCTCCAATAATTTGATTGGACTTTCAAGGAATGAATAACCCCTTGAAAGAATTTGTGGTATGATAAATATTTTATGAAATTTGAATGAATGTGGTTGGACCAGGGATTCAATTTGATTTTGTAGTTGGAAAAGTGTTCGGGGCGAATTTGGTTAAGGTACACTAGGGATTCTGTTTGGACTTACTGTTGTATTTGGATTCAATTTCCAAATTGCCTATGCATCTTTGGTGGAATCAAACCGGACGTAGTTCCTTGAGAATTTGATTGGACTTTCAAAGAATGAATGAGCCCTTGAAAGAATTTTATGTTTGAGAGATTTGAATTTGATCTCATTGAAATTTGCACGGGTAGATGACCCATGAGAAAATTTAGAATGGTTTTGTACCATTTTTTATTGTTAATGTCCAAAGAAAATTAAAAGGTATTTTAATGAGCCCATTATTTACTCACATATGGTTTTGAGGATTTAAAAATTGATCCATTAACCACATAATTTATTTGGGTAATATGTTTTGTCAACCCATCAATTTGTTTCTAGGCCTTGACATTTCCATTAGTTGGGCCATAAACAAAAACTCCACGTCAAAAAGGCTTTGAGAGCAGCTGCCAACTGAAACCAAAACTGATATCTATTTGGAGTAAGAGAGATCAATTCAAACTGAGTCACTCTCATCTTTATCTGGAGTAGTTCAAATTAAATTCAAACTTGACCAATTTATATATCTCTTCAGCTGCCCGTTAGCCATAATCAATTCAGAGCTTTGAGTTTGAAACCAAAGAGACATCAAAACAAGGTTGGTCCTTTCCTTCGCTCATTTCTGTCAGAGTAGACTACATAGCCTATTAAATTATTAGTTGAAAGTCTTGGAACTTGAAAGGCATTGTCTATTTGTCAAAAGAAATATAGAGCTTTTGAACCCAAAAAAGAAGTATAGAGCTTATTATTCTTTATTTGCTACTTTTCTTCTCTTTGTTTTTTTTTGCTTTTCTTCTTCCTTTGCTTCTTTCTTCTTGCGAGCTTTCTCCCCAAGCTCTTGTTGATTGGCTTTCAATTGCTCTGACGTGAGAGAAGGTTTTGGAGCCTCAACTTTGGTGTTGACTAGTACTGATGGCATTTGATCTAGGTTTGGATCATTTTCATGTTCCACCAACCAATTGATGTAAGCGTTTTAAGGTCACACACTCATTGAACTTGGCTAGGACTCTGAGACAGATACCAAGATCAATTAGAACAAGTATCCTGAAGCTTATACGGATGTGATTAAGATATTCTATTTAAGCATTGGAGTCCTAATATAATTAAAAGAGTTGGACATAGTCATCCAGTTACTTGGTGATTAAGTTGAATTCTAATAGGATTGTAATGGGAGAGTCCTATTAGAATTACACCAACTAAAGCTCATTATAAATAGGATAGGTCCCTGCCTCTGTCAAGCACCGAATCACAAAAGTTCTTGAGCCCCATTGAGATAGAGTGATATACAGAGCTTGCTAAAGAGGTGGAAGACCTGTCTACTGTAACAATGGTTTCTGCTGCAGGTATCTTGTGTATTATTTGTATGTCTGCTTAGATGTTATAAAACTAACATGTGGTATCAGAGCTGCAGGTTTTGTCATACTTGTAATACCTATAAGGGCAGCAGCATTTGCAGGAGGATAAACCCAATTCTGCAGTTTTTGTTATAGATATAAAGATTATTATTTTTATTGGTTTACTAACCATTCTGCAGGAAACTATACAGTCAATTCGAATAGTTCCTAAAGGGATATCATAATCAAATAAAATAGCCAAAGCAATTTTTGTTGGTTATGATATATCAATTGAACAAAAGAAAAGGATTGAGTCTGTAACACATATTGAGATATAGAGAACAGTTTTGCCAAAGCAAAGATGTTCTATGTGTTTTGGTATGTGTTAGCATAAAATAGTGCATGGCTTATGAAAACTGTTTGAAATTTTTCTACTCAAAAGTATAAAAGTCTCAATGAAAGTCAGTTAACATGTATCTGTGCATTGGTTTTATGATCAAGTATTGCATATTAGAAATTCAAAACAAATGAATCCTAATATGTTTCCAGTTTTGGGGAAAAGATAATTTAGTCTAGCATGTCCTATTCTGCAGCTTTGAACCCATCCTCTATAAGTCACCACGCAATTGTTCCATTGACTGGGACAAACTTCAAGAAGTGGAAAGAGGATGTGGATATAGTGCTGGGAATTATGGATATGGATTTGGCTCTTAGAGAAGATGAACCAGCAAGACCAGCAGATGGAGCAAGTGCTACTCAGAGATCGAAGTATGAAAAATGGAAAAAGGCAAATAGGGTTGCACTGATGATCATCAAGAGATCTATGACTGATGCTGTTCGAGGAGGTGTTCCTGATCTCAAGGATGCAAAAGCTTATTTGGCTGCAGTGGAAGAGAGGTTCCAACGATCTGAGAAAGCAGAAACTGGTGTGCTTATGTGTGAACTGACAACAATGAGGTATGATGGAGCTGGAAGTGTCAGGGAGTACATTCTGAAATTAATTGATATCTCCAGCAAACTGAAGGAACTAGAGGTATCTCTGTCTGATGCTTTTCTTGTGCATACCACTCTTAACTCATTGCCTGCTGAATTCACTACACTGAAATCAAGTTACAATGCTCAAAGAGAGAAATGGAATTTGAATGAACTCATAGCAATATGTGTTCAAGAAGAAGATAGGATCAGAAGGGAAAAAGTGGATCTCACAGTTAACATGATAACTAAAATCAACCCTCCAAAATCCTACCCAAATGAGTCTGCCAAAAAGGAGCTAGTCAAGAATGTTCACTTCCCTAAAAAGACCAATGACTTTAAGGCTAACAAAACATCCAACTTTAAGTGTTTCTTCTGTAAAAGGCCAGGGCACATGAAGAAAGCTTGTCATAAATACAAGCGATGGTTAGAGAAACAAGAAGTTAAAGGGCTTTCTAAGAAAGAGAACTCCAAATAGGAATGAGGTCAATGTCTTCGTAGGGGATGGAACAAAGGTTGAAGTCAAAGCAGTAGGAGTCATCAATCTTCAGTTAGGATCGAGTCATTGTCTAGAGCTAGATGATGTAGTCTATGTACCTTCCATGAGAAGGAATCTTATTTCAATTTCTAAGTTGGTTCTGTCGAATTATTCTTTTCAATTCAATAAAGAAGGCTTCAGTTTGTTTCATAATTCAATTCCAGTTGCAAAATGCCCTGTTGAATGTGGTTTATTTCACTTGAATTCCATACCAGCTGCTCTAAACACTGAAATCATTCCAAGTCCAACTCAATCTGCTAGGCTTTGGCATCATAGGTTAGGTCACATCTCTAAAGATAGAATCCAACGCTTAGTTAAAGAACAAATCCTGCCATCAGTAGACTTCTCTGATCTAGATGTCTATGTCAATTGTATTAAAGGGAAATTAACTAAGGCAAGAAAGAAAGGCTCAAACAGAAGTGGTCAACTCTTAGAAATAATCCATACAGACATCTGTGGCCCTTTTCCCATCCAAACTCTAGAAGGCCACAGATACTTCATAACCTTCATAGATGACTACTCTAGGTATGGCTACTTGTTTCTCATTACAGAAAAGTCTAGTGCTCTGGAAGCTTTTAAAATTTTTAAAACAGAAGTTGAAAGACAGTTGGAATTAAAGATAAAAGTTGTTAGGTCTGATAGGGGAGGTGAATATTATGGGAAATTTGATCAAACTGGCAGACACCCTGGACCTTTTGCTAAGTATTTGCAGGAATGTGGAATTGTTGCACAATACACCAATCCAGGAACTCCAGAGCAGAACGGTGTAGCTGAAAGAAGAAATAGAACACTCAAGGATATGGTGAGGAGTATGATCTGCAATTCACAGCTACCTAATTACCTATGGGGCGAGGCAATAAGGACAGCAAACTACATCCTAAACCGTGTACCAAGTAAGGCAGTATCAAAGACCCCTTTTGAGCTATGGACTAACAGAAAGCTGAGCCTCAACCATTTGCATATATGGGGGTGCAAGGCAGAAGCAAAAGTCTTCAATCCACAAGAGAAGAAATTGGATCCCAAGACCATAAGTTGTTTTTTTGTAGGTTATCCAGAGAAGACGAAGGGGTACAGATTTTATTGTCCAAATCATACAACAAGGCTTGTGGAAACAGGTAGGGCAGTTTTTCTAGAAAATGTCCATGAAGAAAGGAAGGCCACAGATTTCATTTTTGAAGAGCTGGGTGAAATTGCAATTGAGCCAGCAAAGCGAAGTGTGCAAGTTCCACATATAAGTGAAATACAAGGGGAAGATTATGAAGATATGGAACCTGAACAAGAAGACATGAATGAAATTCAAGTCTAGGAAACTCAAGATGTGAACAATGAAGTAGTTCAGCCACAAGAAGCACCAGCTCCACAGAGAAGATCTAACAGAAATAGAAGACCAGCAATATCTCAAGATTATGTAGTGTATTTACAAGAATCAGAGTTTATGGCATCAGATTTTGAAGATCCTTTGTTTTTCAATGAAGCAATTAATAGTCCAGAGGTATTGAAAGGGAAAGAAGCCATGGAAAGTGAATTAGATTCAATGGAAAACAATCAGGTGTGGGATTTAGTAGAGCTGCCAGAAGGAGTGAAGCCAATAGGGTGTAAATGGGTGTTCAAAACCAAGAAAGACTCAATGGGCAACATAGAAAGATTCAAGGCCAGATTAGTTGCAAAAGGTTTTACTCAAAAAGAAGGAATAGATTATAGTGAAACTTTTTCCCCAGTTTCAACTAAAGATGCTTTTCGGATTATCATGGCTCTTACTGCACAATATGACCTGTTTTTACATCAAATGGATGTAAAGACAGCCTTTTTAAATGGGAGACTGGATGAAGAAATATATATGGTGCAACCTGAGGGTTTTATAAAGGAAGGAGAAGAGCATTTGGTCTGCAAACTCAAGAAGTCCATTTATGGACTGAAGCAGGCATCAAGGCAATGGTACTTGAGGTTTGATGAAGTTGTAAGCTCACAAGGCTTCACAGAGAATCCAGTGGATGAGTGTATTTATCTAAAATTTAGTGGGAGCAATTTCATCTTCTTAGTACTCTATGTCGATGATATTTTACTGGCCACTAACAATTTGTCTATGCTTGCTGCAAAGTTTTTTCTGTCATCACATTTCGAGATGAAAGATATGGGGGAGGCGTCTTATGTGCTAGGAGTAGAGATACACAGAGACAGAAGTCGTGGTATGCTTGGTTTATCACAGAAGGGATACATAGAAAGAGTGCTTAAAAGATTTAACATGTTATCTTGTGCATCTGGAGAAGTTCCTATTACAAAAGGAGACAAACTAAGTAGAGCTCAAAGTCCTCAAAATGAGTTGGAGAAAGAAGAGATGAAGAACAGACCCTATGCATCTTTAGTGGGCAGCTTAATGTATGCTCAAGTATGCACAAGACCAGACATTGCCTTTGCAATTAGTGTGTTAGGCAGATTTCAAGCAAATCCAGGGAATGCACATTGGATAGCGGCCAAGAAAGTCATGAGATATTTGCAAAGGACAAAGAGTTTTATGCTGGTTTATCAGAGACAAGAAAGCTTGGAGTTAGTAGGATATTGTGATTCTGATTTTGCAGGTTGTCCAGATGATTTAAAGTCTACATCAGCATTTGTTTTCTTGCTAGCAGGAGGAGCTGTTTCATGGAAAAGTTCGAAGCAAAGCACCGTGGCTGCTTCAACGATGCAGGCTGAGTTTGTTGCTTGTTATGAGGCCACCATCCAAGCATCTTGGTTGAAGAATTTTATAACAGGTTTGCGTGTGGTGGATTCGATTGCCAGACCTGTGCAAATTTTCTGTGATAATAGTGCAACAGTATTTTATTCCAGAAACAACAAGAGGTCAGCGGGTACAAAACATCTTGAAATAAAGTTTCTGTTAGTGAGAGAGAAGATTAAGCAAGGCCAGACTCGGATTGATCACATAAGCACACATGATATGATTGCTGACCCTTTGAATAAAGCAATTCCCAACAGTATATTCAAGAGACATGTGACTAGCATGGGGATTTTGGCTAGTTTCGATGATGCAGAATAGTGGGAGTAAATTTGCAGTTCATTTTCAGTTATTAGATATGCACTGAGGTAGAATTTTATGTTTTGATTTTGCTTAACTATTGAAGTTTCATATTTGGTTGATACAGTTTCTCATTCAATTAAGTATTAATTGTTTTCATGATTTATTTTCATGAATTAAAGTTTGAATGCAACCATACAGAGCTTCGTTTAGAAGCATTAAGTGGACCTGGTGTATCTATATGCATGCAGTTCACATATAAAGAGCATATAGTGCATCTATTTGACTTTGTCTTGTGGGAGTTTCATGTGGATGAGGATTTTATGGTTGTAATTATGGATGCCTTGCTTGATTGAAACGAGTTAGTGTATCTGTAGTTCTGCATTTATATTCTCATCTGACAGAAACAATGTTTAGGACTTTTGTTCTTTGATCTTATGGTGCCTTAAAGTTTGTGTTTGTTTCGAGTTCAAAAGGAGCTTATGTTTTGATGGTGTGTGTGCCCTAGTGGGAGAATGTAAGCGTTTTAAGGTCACACACTCATTGAACTTGGCTAGGACTCTGAGACAGATACCAAGATCAATTAGAACAAGTATCCTGAAGCTTATACGGATGTGATTAAGATATTCTATTTAAGCATTGGAGTCCTAATATAATTAAAAGAGTTGGACATAGTCATCCAGTTACTTGGTGATTAAGTTGAATTCTAATAGGATTGTAATGGGAGAGTCCTATTAGAATTACACCAACTAAAGCTCATTATAAATAGGATAGGTCCCTGCCTCTGTCAAGCACCGAATCACAAAAGTTCTTGAGCCCCATTGAGATAGAGTGATATACAGAGCTTGCTAAAGAGGTGGAAGACCTGTCTACAGTAACAATGGTTTCTGCTGCAGGTATCTTGTGTATTATTTGTATGTCTGCTTAGATGTTATAAAACTAACAATTGACTGTAGCCTCCAAGCTAGCATAGTGAAGTGCACGAGTTGGGTTTCTTTGCCTAACACAACATGCACAAGCCAAAGAGCTATCTGTGTATTTCGTTGAGTTTGGCAGTACCAACTTCATAGCTGAAGCTTCTCCCTTCTTTAATCCCAAAGTTCAGCCATGAATTTGGGTTTTGTTCAACCCACGAATTTGAGTTTGGCAGTAACTGCTTTTTGTTGTTTTCTATGTACTTATGGCAGTCTTCTACAAAATGGGTTTTGTCTTTACTCATTATATGTGCTTAGAGACCTTCAGATAATTAAAAAACATACTCATCTTTGGTTTTGTGTTGGCTTGACAGGAAGGCTTTCTTTGAGCAACGAGTTTCTTCATTTTTTTGGTCTAAAGACCAAACTTTGGTTTGAAGAAAAGTTGTTGGCAGCAAGCTGTGCATCCATTTTAGCTTTGACTTCTCCTTTTGCGTATGGCAAGTCTTTCTTTTCTTTTTTTTTAATTTTGTTTCTTTTCATTTATTTGTTTTTCATCACTTTCCTTCTTCTTTTGCTAGTTTCTCTTTCAGCTCCTGGGACTTCTTCTTCGACCTTTTGGTTCTTTGTTGCTGCTTTTGGGTTCTTCAATAGCCACAACATAGGAGGAGGCTTCTTAGCCTAAAATTGGTGAGCCATTTTTTCTTTGGCTTTTTGCTTGTTGATGCTTTGGTGCATCCTTTTCTTTCCAATTTGATTGGAATTTCTAAGGCTTTGCATATTTCCCTTTGCAGACTCACATCATTTGAGAAGGCTATCATACCGCCAATTGAGGTGCTGGCTTTGTTTTGTCTCATTTGCTTCATGTTTTGCCAACAACAAAGTGAGAACCTTTTATGATATTTGCAATTTGCTGCAAAGAATGTTGTCTTAGTGACTTACATAGACAGTCTGGCTCGTGAGTTTCCTTTGTTGGCAACCTTTTGATGCACGATACTTGGATGTGAGTCATCAACTTTTGTAGACTTTCTGGCAATCAGTAGTATCTGCTTTCATATATATATATATATATATGTATATATATATATTTCTGTTTATGCATATCTGTGAGACTAAAACAGGATTGTTGATTTTCTCCATTTACAACACGTTTTGCCATCTCTTTGTTCTCCAATTTGCAAACTTGGAATTTCGTTGTGCTGAAGGTGGGTTGGGCATGTAACAAAGCATTTGGGATTTTGAGGTTTTCTGTTTTTGGTACTCAAGAACACTCGCAAGGTCTTCTCTGAGTAACACAATGTGCCTATGGACACTCACAAGATGTTCACAGCTCTTAGTACAGTGGGGTTCTTACTGAAGCCCATATGTAATTCACAACAGAGAGGTCCTTGTGAGAGCTCTCTTCGTGTAAGTAGCACAGTTACCATCATTTTGACAAGATTTGTTTACATCTTCCATCGCCAAGGCTTCTGTACAGTTTCTTCTACACTTTTTCTTTTGTCTGCAAGTTATTTGTACATAAGAGAATGCTCAAATTAATGAATCATTTTCTACCTTCCTTAATGGTATTGTGACAGAGCTTTGTATCCCCTTTACTTGCGTTACTTGCGTCCCTTTTTCTTTTCTTTTTCCCTCTTCTTTGGATTTCTGCAACAGTTTAGTGCTCCTCCTCCTCCGTGTTTTTGCATGTGTTTTCTACTCTCTTTTTTCTCCTTCCTTTCTGTTTGCTCACCAATGGTCCCTTTTATAGACCCAGAAAAAACTGAAAGGGTGGAGCCAGTTATGGCCTCACATACTGTGTGGGTGGGAGTAACTTCCCATTTTCAGTCAGCCCCCTCAACTCCACACTCCAAAGTCACGTACATGAAGCATATCCTGTTACTGCTTTCAATTTATTAATATTTTCTTGTAAAAAATATTAATATTAATTCATTTGGGCGTAAACCAATATAGCAACAAGTCCACAAAACCATTTTAGCTATGAGTCCAACTTCTTTAAACTTGGGCCAAAATTTAATTTGCTGTCAATGAATTTTTTTATTTCAACAATAATTATCTACCTATTTATTATCGTTGATGAACCATTCCTCTCTCTTTAAACCACAATGCAGATGGTCTGAATCGGTTTTAACTCTTAGATGTAAATTGGTTTTAACTTAAGGGTATTTAAGTCTATTTAAGTAGGTTTTTTGCTACATTTGAAAGTTTTTATAAAAATTGACCTTTATGAAAGTTGGGAGGAAATGTTGGCTATTATTTTTTTTAAATAAAAACTCATCATGAGTTCGTTTGTATCAAAAAAATTTGGAGCTCTAACTTTCATACTTATTTAAAAAATGCATGATTTGTAGACAACTTTGAGATTAGAAGACGAAGCCATTGGTAGTGAAATAGGAAGAAATTGATTTTTGGTGGATTATTTCACAATTCAATGGGTATGTATAGAAATTAGGGTGAGATTTTGGGATAGATATGGTATGGAATATTTATTTTATTATATTATAGTTGTAGGATATTTTTTTGGTTAAAAATGCTTTGAAAAAAAAATCCAGGTCGTCTTATTTGAAATAGCCGATAGAGATTCTAACAAGAATACCCAACTCATGCCAAGCCGCTAGACTGCAACAACTACATCATCTAGGTTATTCCCACGCCATCCCCATTCTACATCACACCGTATCAAGTCCAAAGCAAATCCCATCATCGCAACAAAATATTCATTAACTAAATACATTTTTAGGAATTATGAATCTCCCTTTATATATTAGATGAAAAAATTCAAAAATTATAAATTTTTATTTATATTACTTTATTTATTTTATTTTGGATGAAATGGGGGGATAAACCCCAACAAACAATTACATTTAGCATATTACTTTTATTTTTTAGCGATACACAATTGGTACATAAAGGATGGATTTGCCCGCGTATGAGTCACCTCGAATAAACCATAAGAAGAAGCCTTTTCTATTGGGCTCGCATTGTAAAACCATGCTAGGGGTGGGCATCGGAACCGATCAACCGAACCAAACCGGACTGGAAAAAACAAAAAAAAATTGTGTTGACCAAAAAGTCAAACCCAATCCAAAAAACCAAACCGAATCAGTTCTAATCGGTTCCCGTTCCGGTTCTATGCTCCAAACAAACTGAACTATCCAAATTAAAAAGTATATAATTTTAATACTTATTTATATCCAATGCTATGTTTTTAATCTCATAACTAGTATTTACCCAAGTTCAATTTCAAAACATCTCTTTTTCTAGCCTTAATATTTCTTTTTGTATGAAATTGAATAATTTGTTAATAATTATGAATTAGTTGACTATACTCAAGCCAAAATAAATAAATTTTAAGTTGAAATTTGTATTAAAAAAAATAATTTAAAAAGATAATAATAATAATCTAGTTCAAAACCGGACCGGACCAAAACCGGACCGAAATTGGTTCAACCCGAACTGGATGGTTTTATAAATTTTTTTGGGTTATCTACTATAGACGTCCCTAAACTTGGCCCCCAATTGCAATTGGGCATGTAAACTTTTTTTGAAGCAATTACATCCTTTAACTTCACAAATAGTTCCAATGGAGTCATGTCGTATCAAAATCCGTCAAGTTTGACCATGTGAATGACACATGCTCTTATTGTGAGGGGTATATTAGAGTTTTCACGATGGGAGGAAAACTGAAAAATTACATTACAAAGAAAAAGCCATGAAAGGAGGCAAGAACTTCATAGAAAAATCCAACATATGAGTATTGAAGATGATGCCGATCTGCTATATTGGTCAGGAAATTAATATGTATACGACGATATATTGGATTGAAATGTATAGATAGAGAAGAAATTGTACATCACCGACACATAGAAAAGCATGGATCTTGAAGCTAAAGGAAGCAGAGGATGGCCTTGCTGTGGAGGTTGAGATCTCAGAGAGTGCTTTGGAAAGCTTAGAGAAGCGAAATGGGGGAGAAGAAAAGAGAGAGTCTTGCATAACAGGGAGAGACCCCTTGTGCTTCGATTTGAAAGCACCAAACAGAGAGAGAGAGAGAGTATGTAGCTGGGTTTGCTTGGTCATGGGGCCCACTAGGGTGGCTGATCCCAAGTG